AGTGGCCAGCTGTTTGTTTTATTGCTTGTTTAGCCTGCTATCTCATCCACCATCCACCTCTTGGCTAATGCCAGACAAAACTAACATTCTTCTATCCAAAATGCAGATAATGTGGTCAACAAACTGCTGCAAACTTAAATATGAGAGTGTAGACTGTGTACACCAGGGTATGAATGCACTGTCTACACAACGGAGAGATCTTTGTTCTGTCAATGTGATGTTTATGTTTATATTCTCCAACAAAGTTAGTTCTATACCATTCAGTTCTATCCCATTCTATTTCAATTGTTCTGTTTTATTGTTAAATAGAATATTAGACTTGCATGACTTACTTGTATTTTTTTCTTTTACACATCCATTAATGTTATCATATTTTGACAATTATATTCATATTAAATATTAAAATAATTAGTTCTGTGCTGTGACTATATCCAAAAGTCAAAGCAACCAAGTCGTATCCTGTAAAACTCTGTTTACAGATTAACAGAGTGGATGATGTAAAGCATGTGATTCTCCTGGACTTTGACCGATCACTGTCACTGATCACAAGATGAGGTGACTGTCGGAACCACACAGCAGGTAGGCTGAAACAATGTTGAACTTTTAATTCAATATAATTAATGTAAAGCCATTATCGTTTGTTTAAATTCCTCAAGATGAGGAAGAACACATGACAGTTAAAGTCATTATTATAAAGTGTGAAACTGAGTACATGTTATGGAATATAAACGTTTTAATCTGATCTGCATATTTTAGTAGCATATTCTTTCTATCTTTTTTTCTTACCTATATCTTCTTGGGAATAAACCAAAAGCTAATTCAAATGATTAAACTAACCCAAATCCAGTGAATCCTTGTACGGTGATATTTTGGTTGCCTCAAATCTATTTTAAGAATTAAAACTAAGGCACATTAGTAAAACAGTCTGATATGTGACAAAAAACAATTATCAGTATAACAGAATTAGATATATTTTTATTCTTTTAGTATTATTTTGTTATTTTGCATAAATACAAGTAATATGTATGTGTCCATTCAAGGGATTAACCTTTTTAAACTTTTCAAAACTCGAGGATGCATTACCTGAAGGATGGATGGCTATCTAAACCTCGACTTGGTGCCATCTGCGCTTTGCTTTTCCATCAGACGGCTGTCTTCCTTTTCCTAACACAATGTTGCGGAGGTAAAGATGTCAGTAACGCCTTTCATAATTCAAATTTCTCAACTGCTAGCACTACTAAACATTTTGGCCACAGACTAATTTGTGTCTGAAACATACCCTGAAAGTTTCATTCAATCAACCACTAGGGGGCGCTAAAAATGCAATAAAATGGGCATGGCACCAAACAAATCATACTCTAAATAAAAAATTGCCACCGTACTGGGGATTCAAATGCTCCCAGTTTTTAAACGTTATTGTATCATTTCCTTAGACAAATTAATTTCATACCAATCTAAGAGTTCCTTAGTCTTCTGAACTTGACACATTAAAATAATTTTCTGGATTTTTATATTTAAAGACATCAATTTGTGTTACATGCACTTTTCTTTAGGTCAGTCTCAGATGTTCGGTCCATCGCAGCCAATTGTGGCAGCGGTTGGTGATGACATCGTGTTACCATGCCGCCTGGAACCTGCTGTGGATGTCACTGACCAAACTGTAGAGTGGACCAGACCTGACCTGAGTCCTAGATTTGTCCATGTGTGGCGTGATGGTGTGGAACTCGAGGCTAAAAAACATCCGTCCTATGTAGGAAGGGTGTCATTGTCCATCAACAAACTGAAACATGGAGATATTTCATTGAGACTCTACAAAGTAAAACTCTCTGATGAGGGAATATACAGATGTTTCATTCCCACACTGAATAGGGAATCTTCTGTCAAGCTTGCTGTTGGTGAGTGTAAACTATATTGTCTTCATAGGTTAGAACCTAAATGTGACAGTTTCAAGCACATGACTAAAGCTTGAAAGGCTTATTTTACCTTTTCTGCCTGAATTAAAGAAGCTAGTTCACGTTTTTCCAAGAATTCTAATCTAGACTATTTAATAGGAACTATAATGTACTTCTCTTCATCATTAGGTGCAGTCTCCTCACTCATCATCAGCTTTATGAGGACTAAGACAGATGAAGACATCAACGGAGTGATTCTACAGTGTGAGTCTAACGGCTGGTATCCAGTCCAGAGCCTGAGTGGGTCCGGCTGGATGGTGGGAGGGAAACCTCCTCTTGCTGGACCTACAGAGACAGTCAGAGGTCCTGATGGACCTCTAATATAGTCAGCAGCAATGAATGTGGAGAAGAGACCACAGCAAACAACTTTCACCTGTAGAGTCCAACAGAAGGACATCAACCAGACCAGAGAGACACACGTCTATAATTCAAGGTGAAAATGATCTCCTATATTTAAATGTTTACTGCGTTAGACTAGGAAATTCAAGATTTCTAAGTGTTGGTGTTCTTTTTTGTTATCAATTAACAGATGATTTCCTTCAGTGCTCCAATTGGTAGCTCCTGCTGCTCACAGTCCAACCATCAGCCTGTTGTGTTTTCTGGTTATTTCTTGGCAGGCTGTCTTTATAAGGGAAATGAGACAGAATAGAAAGTCTGTCATTGATTAGACATAACTCTGCCTCCGTCCTCCTCAGTTTTAGACACATTCTGTTCTCTGTCCTACAACAGGCAACAACTTGACATCAGACGTGAAACACGAGAACTTCAACTCGCTCATGAGGGGAAAAAGATACACTGCAGGTGATGACAGAAAGCATTGAGGATTTGGATGAGAAGAAAGCACATTCATATACATTAAGGAAGTAGAGGAAGAATCAAAGATGTATGGATGGTTAAATTCCATTACATGGATCACAAGAAGGATCGTTGGCAACCAGATAACGTTGGCCTGAATATTAAAACCAAAACCAAAAATAAGAAGAACAGAAAGACAAAGACAAAAAAAATAAAATTACCAGAAAGAGAACATAAATGAAAATAAAGCATCTAGAATACCAAACAGAAGTTTTACATGGCTGTGCAGTGTGTGGTTAGCTATAGTGACAAAGAGGAAGAAGATTATATAATCGGAAAGGATCCAAATTAATAAACAACTGGAGGAGATAGAGGCAGCAAGAGAAGATGAAATTCAAAAGAAACTGATCACTTCAGACATAAATACAAAAATCATGCATACATAAAATATAAGGCTGTCATAGCATAAAAATGCCTAAAAACAAACTATGTTAAAATTTACCTGACAAGGGACCTCTAGTGACACGTGGAGTTATTACGTTGTCTGTCAAGCCAAAATGTATGTTGATGGATTGCCACCACGTTTCCCGTATTTTCAGCTTTATTTCTTTTACAAGCATAGCCACCTAGATTACTATAACCAAAGAGGTGTTTCTTTTGCCTAAAACTAACCAAACAGTTAAAGTTTAAGTAAGACATAGCTGCATGGTTCTTTCACTTTTTCCTCTACACCAATAAGATTAAACATTTAATAATTATTTAAAGAAAATCTCTTCACCTTTTTCATTTGTAAAATACTTGATTTTATTATATATTAATGTAAAGTGTTCAGTCATAAGCATCCATTTGCACATATCTCAAATGTCAAAGAACTGCAAACATTATAAGCTGGCAAAAGGATTGTTTTTTGATTGAACTAGATGCTAACAAATGGTCATAAGACTGCAATCACAGCCCTGGACACAAATATCTGATTGAGGCCTGTCAGTTGCTAATAGTGAAACTGGTCCTCAGGGGGGCAAGCACAGTACAGTTGTGGTGATTGTAATGTTATATGGATTATGATTGTAATTCAAATAAAAAATTAACCATCAACATTGCCTGTGATGTTATGTTAGCATAGTAAAGTGCTTTTAATTTTCCATGACGTTCATCGACAGTTTATCAAAGATGTTTTATTTAATTGAAC